TAACATGCATTTTTCTAGGATTTATGTAATTAATATCGCTTCTCATTCAAATTCTCGCGCAGCTGCATCGCTTTTATGTCACACGAATTGTAATTATCGACAGCGTTTATTGCGAAAACGAGAAATGAGTTTTCTTATTTAGAAAATATTTTTGAGATACTTATACATCGAACACGGAAAAAAAAAAACAGCTGAAAACTTCACTAATTTAGCAAATCTACAGTCGTAATATACAGACAGTCAATTTTCTGTGTCAAAGTGACAAAGTTGACAGCTGATTACCATTAGCGATTTGTTAAACCATCAAATCTTCTTTATAGATTAGTTATAGATATGTTGAATTCGCGCAGTAAGTTACAGGTTTGCTGTACCACCCAATTAATTTTTTTTCCGTGAATTAATGCGGAAAAAACGCGCCTTCGTCCTTCCCCCTGATATCATTTCAAATGTTACATCACATTCGTCGCTAAGGAGATATAATTGAATCAGAAAACGTAATTGTGACGATGAAATGTGAAAAAGACTTTCCGCTTTTGAGCACGGAAACGTGTGGTTACCGCGATTTTCGCAGGTACCGCGCGACACGAACGGATCTCCCTGTTTGATCGTCTCGAAAGTCATCAATTTCCTTGTTTACACGAGTTTTCCATCATCCCTTTCATTTTCCCGTCAACGTCACCTAACGGATTCAATTCACATTCAGCGCTCGTCGAAGCGAAGAGATTCACGGTAGATAGGCAGTACACGGCAATTTATCGAAACCCTTTAAACTACCTTTACGACCCTTCACAACACTTTGCAACGTACTCTGCAACCATGAATGCAAATATCATCTGTTATGCGTCATTAGGAAACGCAAGATGTTCGCGTCTGCCTGATATTTTTTACAGTTCAAATATTTTAAGATCAATTAAATATATTGCTTAAATATGTAAATAAAGATTTATGTAAAAAGCTAATAACCGGAAGTTAATTAATATTGATACGATCATATAATTTAGCTGATAAAATAAATTCTAGAGGATTTATGATATAAAATATTTTAAAACGCAAGAGCACGATAAATGGCGATGCACAATAATTATAAAGGAATGCATTTAAGCCACATGCTGGATCTTTTTTGCGCAAGATTTCTATTCAAATTCGTTAAATTAAACTCGTGAACGTTTCGATCACACAATCTGGTCATCAGTATGCACATTGTCAGGATTGTGGTCGAAACGTTCGAATTTAATTTAACGAATTTGAATAGAAATCTTGCACAAGAAAGACCATGTAGCTTAAATGCTCTTTGTCTTTTATTGTTTTTGTTTATAAAGCCATTCTTTCTTATTGTTATAAAAAGATGTTTAATAATAATAGAAGAGAAACTATAATTATATTTTTCAATTAAGAGAAATAATTTTGTTTTCAGCTGAAGCAAAATTTTAGTATTTCAGTGTGAATTTATATACATATCCAATTCTGTAAACTAAGCACCAAAATCTTTTTCAGTCTTGAAATGCAATCATGAATAGAAATAGAGTAGTAATATCACATATTAAACTGACAAGAAATTTAATAATTTTCTATGCTCATAAGCATCTTAAAAAACTATAAATAATTTACTACAAAAAAATATTGCTTCAGTCGGGATTATATTTTTAATTGGAAATATAAAAAAAAAATATTATGAAAATAGTTATTGTAATAAAAAAAAATCGAGAAATGATAAGATGAAACATTAGTAAAAACATTGAAGATAAAATACGCAGATCGAATAATAAAATTGATATCGGTAGCTATACATTTTCCTCATGCAGGTGTAAACAGATTTGAGCTCGAATGCCCATTATCGGATTTATTCGCATCATTGGAAATGCAGAGGCGCTGTTTAAAAATTACAAGCGAATAAATGAAAACGCAATATCGTTGTTACAATACGACACAATATCTGCAATTCACGCTCACGTTTTAAACGGTCTCGTGATTTTTTATAAGCATTAAATTGCCACTCGCGAGCGCGCTCCAGTTGTCCATCGACGTAAATCCCATGCGCGACGTACATGCATTATTTATCAACCGTGCACGCTATCCAGACTATATAGCCGTCCGTTTCACATTTGGCAACACGGTTCATTCTACGGCTTAAGTTTATGGCTTGTGGAAGCCCCTATAATGAGATCCTCCGTCCCAGATAATAATAACTTAATGCCTCGTCGCGCAGTTCTAAGGATTGAGTGGAGCATTACACGAAGGGATGCGTACGGATTCGCGTCTCCACTCCTGCCCTTTTTAAAATTGCGTTGTCTTAATTGTGTACGTATCCCATTACAAAACAACAAAACTTTATAATTTCACCCGATGGTGACTCACGTGCCGTGAAATTAATTCTCAAGTGGATTCTTAAATTCTCTTTCTCTCCGCGTCGGATTGCGGTGAACTATCTCGGCTATCTCTGAACGATAAAGTGTTTCTGCAAAAGGCTCATTTTCACGTGGCAAAGAGCTATAAAGTGTTTTAACACCATCTCTGTCTTACAACAGACTTATATTTTAGATTTTAGCAGACCTCTGTCTTACAACAGATTTATATTTTAGATTTTCGGGAAAAGTTTCAGTTCAAGTCAGATATATAAGATTAATCACGTTTCAAGTAACATTATAGTTCATTATACTAATTATTATTTGCGTTATACGTACACATTATATAGAAATATGATATATTATAACAATTTGAACGTATTATAAATATAACGCAGGTATGTATCGTTAATACCACAGAGGAGCTATTTCAATTCTTGCATATAACAGATTACCTCTATTATCATACCACGACATTACACTAGTTTCATTAATGGGGATAACGTAATAAGATACAGAATATGAAGCCGAGAGGAGATGCAGCTTGAAATATTCTCACGCAATAGACGCTAATCGAAATACCTGCAATCAATGAGAGTATATGCCGCGATTACCTGTTATTAATCTCACGTTATTAATCTCGCTGGTCATCTAAGGCACCGATGATCAAACGGGGTATCCGTGGTGGTTATTAGGAGCTAGAAATTCCATCGGTCATTAAACACTAGAAATTCCATCGGTTATTAAACACATCCATATGATCATTGATGACATATATTATGTCTAGGGGGAGTAGATACGTATATAAGACAGACAGTCGTTGGCATACCCTCGCAAATTGCGGAAATTGTTATTATCAAATGGCAATGGACTTGGTCAGCGAGGGTCCAAACCGAAAATTCGACCGAGTCACAACGATACGTACATACTCTCGCGAAGACGTTTGGCTGGGAGATGAGTCTTCCGAGGGAGGACAAACGAGGGCTTGGCGCAATCTGCGAGTACGCGGGCCGTGAATCGTGTGCAGCGTACGGCGAAAAACTTTTCGGAGTTGTGCCACTGCTGTGGGGCCCCTGCGGCCATGCGCCAGCTATCGATCTGGTCCTCTCGCCCGTCCTCGCTTCCGCGCGATAGCCGCACGAACAAGAGCGCCGGGGTATTTTGTTTCGCAAAACGCCTGGTAAAACGAGCGCCGAGGAGAAACCGACGGGACATCGGAGCCGGGAAGAAGGTGAACGGTCGGATCGATTTTATTGTATTCCACGGGGGAAAAATTCTTTGCCCCCTTCCCCGGAACGCATTAAAATAGTACGGAATGAATCTAGACGTGATGGAACGAAAAATAAAGAAAATAGAATTGATTAGAATAATTATTACAAAAATATAAAAATTATTAATGCCGTCTGTAGTTATTTATCTTTGTTTTTAATTATACTATTTTATTTTACATTATATTGTTTTTTTTTTTGTGGCTCGTAGCTCTTCTCTACATAATTTTGTTTTTATATCGTTTGAGCCGTTCTATGCTATATTATAAATATTATTACAGT